ATGTGAGTGTCTATTAATTTGTTTTGATAGTCAACTCAGACTAACACACTATCTCTGGCACTATATCATAAGACTAGGAAGGCTAAACCATGTGTCATTAGTCTTGGTTCAGTTCCTTGAATAGCCCCTCTCTCAAAGTAAATATTCACTAAATATCATTGTAATTAACTTAAGCAATGAATAAATTAAAGAGGGTTCTATTGCTTTGACTTTTCTTTGAAATATACACTGATGTCTAACTTAAATGTCTTAAAATCATCTATTAACAGGTTTTGCTGGGCTCATCAAAATATGTTAGAATGTCGAGGAGTGTGATCATTGCTCACAATTTGAAGTGAAATGCAGAACTGAATGTACTTTCTCAAGTAAGGAAGAGCTATAGTGGGCAGATGCCATCTCACTTGAGCAAAGCAGCATCATGATATCACAGAGGATTTTACAGAAGGGTTTCCCTTGAGGAGCACTGGATGCAGAAGCAAGACAATAGTGACGTCAGTCTTAAAAACACATTTTGAGGTAGAAGCAAATACTCCGTTTGTATTGGTTACAAAAATGGAATGGGTTTAGGTCAATTGTAAAAGAGTTCTCAATTGGGTCTACCATCAATTATCTGGTCTTCAAAATAAGAGGGTTCAGTTTTAGAGACATTTCCACGGAAGAAAGTTTTTATGGATTGATTTTGTCTAAACTTGTCTAAATTAAATTTGATTGATTAAATTTGTCTAAAGGTAAAGCAAAGTTTGGTACTTTCTTGTAACTACAGCTTTAGAACTGTGTTCGATTGATTTGTTTATGTGCTTAGGTGCCATTGAGTCAGTCCAATTCTCAGGAACCCTAAGAACAACAGAACAAAACACAAGCTGGTCTGGGCCCATCTTTGAAATTGTTGCTGTACTTGTGCCCACTAGTTCAGCAATGAACCAGGCCTTATATTCCACGCCATACCAAAAAAAAACAATCTCACAATAGACCAAAGACCTAGATGTGAAACCTAGAGCAATGTTCTCAGGTACTGTGGAGTCCGTTCTGACTCATAGACGCCCTATGTACAACAGAAAGAAACAGTGCTTGCTTCTTGCTCCTGTGCCATCCTTACAATTGCTATGTTTAAGCTCGTTGTTGCAACCCCGGTGTCAATCCATCTCATCAAGAGTCTCCTGCTTTTGTGTTGATCCTCTACTTTTCTATGCATGATGTCCTTTCATAGGGACTTGTCTCTGTTGACAGCATGTCCATCGTACAGGAGACAAAGTCTCGACATCTTTGCTTCTAGAGAACATGCTGGCTGCGCTCTTGCCAAGGTAGGTTTGCTGCCATGGCTCTTTCCATGTTCTTCCCCAACACCAAAGTAAAGGGCAATGACTCTTCGGTGGTCTTCCCTATTCACTGTTGAGCTTTCATGTGTATATAGGGTGATTGAAAATGCCATGGTTTGAGTTAGATAAATCTTAGTACTGAACATGACCCCTTTGCTCTTGAACACTTCACAGTGGTCTTTTGCAGCAGAACCATACAAATGGTCAAAGAAAATAATGAGGACAAACTTAAAGCTTGACCGCATTGTATAAATATAGTATCAGACATAACCATAAAATGCAAAAACAACAGAAATCAAACTAAATGACTGAGACCTCCCCAAAATTAGACAGACCGCACATCAAAATATTTCACCAAAAGAGGAAAAGGAAAACCTCCACACTGGGACCACATACTGGCCACAGCACACCATGTAAGGACCAGTCCCTAAAACTTTACAAAATTAAACATCTTAACAACAACAAAATCAACCAAAAAAATCAAATTTAAAATGAGCAGAGGATGATAACTGACAGTTCACCGAAGAATACATTCAGGAGGCAGCCAACAAAGTCATGAAGAAATGTTCATGATCATTAGCCATGATTAAAGAGATGCAAATCAAATCAACAATGTGTTATTATATTACTCTAGCATTAATTAAAAAAGCAATTACTGGTGAGGCTGTGAAGAAACTAGAACTCTTATACACTGCTAGTGGGATTGTAAAATTGTACAACTACTGTGAAAACAAGATAGTACATTCTTTCAAAGTTGGAAATGGAAATATTATATGATCCAGCAATCCCCCTGCTCGGCATATATCTTACACAAATAAGAGTGGTGACACAAATGGATGCACACCAATGTCCATCTTAGCATTATTCACAATACCACGCAATGGAAACAATCTATATGCCATTATGATAAGTAGGTTTTACATCAACTTGATTGGGTAAGGATTCTCAGTGCTTTGGCAACTAAAGCCTAGAAAGCACCCATGATGTGGCCTAGCATATTGTGATCAACTCCATAATGAGAGGTGGAGTGCAAGTGTTTTGACAATGATGAGGGCAATGAATGTACAAATATGCTTTACACAATGGATGGATGGATGGATGGATGGATGGTGATAAGAGTTGTAGGAGCCCCTAATAAAATGGTTAAAAATATTAGAACCAAAAAAAACCCCTCCATAATGAGATTTACTGTGTGTAGACAATCAGTGGTAAGAAGATAGGACTGAAATGAAACCCCTTTATCAGGTGAAAACCCTAATGTAATTGACAGGAAGTTCTCTCAGGAGCGTGGCCTATCTCCTAGTGAATTGGTACTGTGGAAAACCTTGCTTGTTTTTTACTGGGTCTGGATCCAACAGCTGGCTCGTGGACCTCTGGTTCTCTATACTTGAGCAAACTTCCTACCAGATTGTCTATCAATCTGCAATTCATTTTTCTCTCCAGCCATGATACTGATACATGATAAGGAAAAAAGTAATAAATAAAATACATCAAAATACCAATAATTATGAAATCTTTCAGTAATTATAGTTTTTCAAATAGGGATATATGTCAGTGTTTATCACTTGTTGTTTACATATTATTTCAGTATGCATTAAAATTTCCATAGAATTTTAAGAGTTCATATTGTATATAAATTATGATATCCCATAGTTTTCTTTTATTGCTTTTTTGTATTTATGTTATGCTTGCCTCATAAAATAATTTGTAACTTTTATTCTTTTTCTATAGTTCTTGTTAGGTGCTATCAAGTTGGTGCTGACCCTATCTAGAGGAGGACAAAGCACTGGCCAGTCCTGCCAGGTCCTGCCTAACTTCATAACTGTTATGTTTGAGCCCATTGTCGCAGGCACTATGTCAATCCATGCCATTGAATGTCTACCTATTTTTCACTGATCCTTTGCTTTACAAAGCATGATATGCATCTGATATAAAGTTTATTGTGCTAACCTGGCCGATAAACACATGTGGGTTAATTGAAGGGTGGAGAGATAAATAGCTCAGTGAGCCTGCCTTTCTAGCTCTCGGGTCTCTTGCTTTGTGATGGTCAGACCAGGGTTCAGCTGCCTTAGCCAGTTCCCTGCTTCAGCTGGTAAGGCTCACTTCCTGTAAGACATCCACTAGGAGAAGCCACATGGACCTACCCCGATGTAGCCCTGGGTGCTGGAGCAGCCATGTGGAGACCCCTGCCAGTGCTGAGATGCTAACACGTTCTGATTCGGCCTCATAGTGTGTGTTTTGTGAGATGGAGGAGGACTTTGTGGATTGGTGTCGTACATATGGGTTAATGTTGGACTTGTGGGCTTGGGCAGCACTGGGTTGGGATGTTTTCTTGATGTGCACTTAACCTTTATATAAAGCTCTCTCTTATACATGAGTTTCTGTGGATTTGTTTCTCTGAAGTACCCAGACTAACACACATCTTATAAGGATTTTCCAGGGACTAGTCTCCACTGATAACAAGTTGAGAATAAACAGGATGAAGTCTTGTGATCGTTCCTCTTAAGAAGCATTCTGGTTGCAGTTCCTCTAAGACAGATTTCTTTGTTTGGGGGCAGTCCATGGTATTTCCAGTATTCTTTGATAATATCATAATTCAAATGCATCAGTTCTTCTGTGGTCTTCTTTATTCATGTCCAACTTTCACATGCATAAGAAACAATAAAAAAATATGGCTTTTGCAAGTACTGCTTAGTACTCAAAGTTATATTTTTGTTTTATAACACTTTAAAGAAGTCTTCTGCAGCAGTTTTTATCAGTGAAATACACTATTCTTAGCCTCTACTTCCATAATGGTTGATTATGGACCCAAGTAGATAGAAATTGTTGACAACTTCAATCTCTCCTCTATGAATCATTATGTGCTTTATTTGTGTAAATTTGGTTGTTTTCTACCCAAAACAAAAAAAAACGTGAGTTGCAATTCATCCTGAAAGCTGTAATCTTGATCATCAGTCAGGATCCCAGGCTGTACAGTGGGTTAAGCGTTGGGCTGCTAACCACAAGGTCAGTAGTCGATACCCAGCTGCCCCTCCATGGGAAAGAGATGCTCATATAAAGATTTGCAGCTTTATAAACCCACAGTGTCAAGTGTAATCTGCCCTACAGGGTCACTATGAGTAGGAATCAACTTGATGGTAGAGTTTAGTTTTTCGGCTTTTCTAAGTACGTCAAGTTCTCTTACTTTCAGCATGCCATGTTGTATCATTAGCATATTGTACATTGCTAAAGAATCTTCCTGGTGATGCATTCTCCTTCATATAGTTCAGCTTCTCAGAGTAGTTATTTGCTCCTGATATAGTTTAAGTATAATAAAAGGATGCACCTTTCCTGATTTTAAACCATGCACTATCCCTTTATTCTGTTCTAATAAATGCCTTTTTGCTTATGTACAGGTTCTGCATGAGCACAATTAAGTTTTATAAAATCCTAAATTTTCAAAATGTTTTTCAATTTTTTTTTATGATCCAGCCTGTTAGATATGTTTACATAACCAAGAAAATGCAAGCTAACACTTTTCTGGTCCTCTTTGTCTTCAGCCAAGATTCACCTGATTTCAGCAATTATGTCCCTTGTTCCCTGTTCTCTTCTGAATCGGGCTTGAGTTTTGTGCAGCTCTTCGTCTGTGTACTGCTATAATTATGCTTTCATTATCTTCAGCAAAAAGTTTACTTGCCGGCTCTCTGCTCCTCCTCGTGCGACAGACAGCCCCCTCTCTCGCTCCCGTGCAGTCCCAGCCGCATCCCGAGACACGATGGTGAAGGTCGGAGTGAACGGATTTGGCCGCATTGGGCGTCTGGTCACCAGGGCTGCTTTCGAATCTGGCAAAGTGGACATTGTTGCCATCAATGACCCCTTCATTGATCTGAACTACATGGTCTACATGTTCCAGTATGATTCCACCCACGGCAAGTTCAATGGCGCTGTCAAGGCTGAGAATGGGAAGCTTAACATCAATGGGAAGGCCATCTCCATCTTCCAGGAGCGAGATCCCGCCAACATCAAGTGGGCTGAGGCCGGTGCTGAGTATGTCGTAGAGTCCACTGGTGTCTTCACCACCGTAGAGAAGGCTGGGGCTCACTTGAAGGGCGGTGCCAAAAGGGTGATCATCTCTGCCCCTTCTGCTGATGCCCCCATGTTTGTGATGGGCGTGAACCACGAGAAGTATGATAACTCCCTCAAGATTGTCAGCAATGCCTCCTGCACCACCAACTGCTTAGCCCCCCTGGCCAAGGTCATCCATGACAATTTTGGCATCGTGGAAGGACTCATGACCACAGTCCATGCCATCACTGCCACCCAGAAGACTGTGGACGGCCCCTCTGGGAAACTCTGGCGTGATGGCCGTGGGGCTGCTCAGAACATCATCCCCGCATCTACTGGCGCTGCCAAGGCTGTGGGCAAGGTTATCCCCGAGCTGAATGGGAAACTGACTGGCATGGCCTTCCGTGTCCCCACCCCCAATGTGTCCGTCGTGGATCTCACCTGCCGTCTGGAGAAAGCTGCCAAGTACGATGACATCAAGAAGGTGATGAAGCAGGCAGCCGATGGGCCCCTAAAGGGCATCCTGGGCTACACTGAGGACCAGGTTGTCTCCTGTGACTTCAACAGTGACCCCCACTCTTCCACCTTTGATGCTGGGGCTGGCATTGCCCTCAACGACCACTTTGTCAAGCTCATTTCCTGGTATGACAATGAATTTGGCTACAGCCACAGAGTGGTGGACCTCATGGTCCACATGGCCTCCAAGGAGTAAGAGCCCCCCTGGACCACCAGCCCCAGCAACAGCGCTAGAGGAAGAGAGAGAGGCCCTCAGCTGCTTGGGGAGTCTTTGCCCCTAATTCAATCCCCCAACACACTGAGAATATTCCATCCAGACCCCTGAAGGAAGGGGAGGGGCTTAGAGAACTCGACCTTGTCATGTACCATCAATAAAGTACACTATACCCAGAAAAAAAAAAAAAAAGTTTACTTGCCTGTGATCTTGAGGTGGTTCAACAATTTCCACATACTTTTGTGCATGCTTTTGTTTGAAATGGGCACAAATAGAAATCTCTTCTAGTCAATTGTCCAGGTAGCTGTGTTCCAAATTTCTTGGCATAAATTAGTGAATGTTTCCAGTGTTGCAACGGTTTTGTTCAGTGGGTCCTCTACCAATTCCTGGAGCCATGATGTTCACTGATGCTTTAATGCAACTTGGCCTTCTTCCGTCAAACCAGTAGGTTCTTCATTGTATGTGAGCTCTTGAAATATTTGAAAGCTGACCAATTCTTTTTGGTACAGTGACTATATGAATTCTCTGGTTTTCCTTTTATGCTCTCTGCATCATTCAATATTTTACTCATAGACGCCTTCAATATTGTAATACCTATAATATTCAAAATCATGTAAAATTAATCTATTATAATAGTACTTACCTTTGTAGGAGATACATTTTTTACAAGGGAGCGAGTGACACGGGTATAATCACTTTGTAAAAACTCACTATGCTAAACATTTGATTTTTGCTTATTTTGAATGTTTCTTATATTTCAATGGTTTAACATGTATTATATAACATAATCTGCCATGGAAAGAGAATTATTATTAATATTTGGTTCTTCATCAAAATATAGTTTTAATACAAAAATGTTAAGTTATTACTTCCATCTATTTTGTTTGTGGCTATAAATTATAAAGTGAGAGGGAATAATTGGCCAATTTTAACTAAAACCCCAAAAACATAAATATTTGTTTCTGATGTTTATGTGGGAAACAAAAGTCCTCTTCATTTTCCTTCCCTGCACATTTGTCTTTATCAGCTGTATTTCTATTTATATAACACATTTGCAAAACAATGTTGTCATTCATGCCTAGCTTTTCTAAATTAAAGTCTTCTAGAGCAATTTGGTATTGGATGCTTTTTAAAGCAGAGAAAATGGTGGTGCTGTGGGGAGTGACAATCCATTGTCCATGTATCTTATTCTTAAATGCTAACTGGTTCCAGGCTTTCTCTGTGGGTTTCTTATTGAATTACTTTGGCCTTTTAAGCTTGAATACAAACGAGAAATAAAAGAAAAAGAACATTTCAAAAGAGGGTATTTATCCTCTAAAAATCATTTGAGTTCTTCTATGCCCTTGATATGTGGTCACAGACAAATTCACTAGTCTCAACCTATTCTGAAAAGCTTTTTCTCTGAAGATTATGACAATTAGCCTATTTTAGAAGCCACTATAGTCACTGACACCTGGATACCCTTAGTCCAGCCCTCAGCAGGCCGGAGAGTGGAATAAAGGGCTACATAAATATGAAATGTGTCCTACAGTGAAATCAGGAAAGGGGAAAGGGACGCATCTGGCAGAGTCCAAATCCATGACTCTGGATAGGAAAAGTGGGCGGCGTGGCCTCCAGGTGAGGGGAAGAATAACTGAAAATGCTTTGGGGGACCCTAGTGGTGGAGTGTCCCTGGAGGTATGCACCAAATGAGCCATATTGGCCTGGGTTTGGGGTGTATCCTGGGGACCCTGGGTGGGTGTCATGGGTCCCGGGGGCATTGAATGCTGGATCTTCGGTCCACAGGGCATGTTCCACAGGCTCCATCAGTAAGATCTGATGCAGAAACTACAAGGTGAACTGGACTGTACCTCAGACCCATTTGTCACCTGAGGACTTAAAGCTGAAAACTCATGGTGTTCCAGGAAGCAGAAGACAGTTGTGCCAAGACTATTGTACTCTCAGTAGGCGGGCAATCATAGACTTACTACATCAATGCCGCCCTATCTGCTGTATGAAGATATATATCATCCCACCAAACCTCTGAGATTCTCATTGTAAAATTTCCCTGACAACCTACTCCCATTGTTTGTGTAACTAGGGTCCAGCCACGAAACTATCTATTCTGTACAAGTAAATATTCAAGTATTGAGTACCAAGTACTGTGATACAGAGTTAGCCTACATGGGCCCAGGATCCTTCTCTCAACAACTTTTTGAAATATTAGTACCGGGGGATAATCAATGACAGTGTTAATGGAAGATCTTTATGCCCCAGGGAGATGATAAATAAGACTCTACCATAGATTAACAAGAAAGTTTGAGATGGAACCCAAGGCAGGTAAATAAACATAGATCCAAGAAAGGGTTTAGGGCTCACACTAAATTCTAGCTCCAGTTTAAGAACAATTAGTTTTTACATCATGCCTCTGTTCAAGGTTCACCTGCCGGAAGGAAACACAGAAAATATGGGTACTATAGCAAAGTTTGGTGAAGAAATGCGACGGTGCCCAGCTATCGGATAAAATAGCATCTGGGACTTAACGGCTTATTTCCAAACAGGCAGCCATCTAAATGAGATGTCAACTAAGTCCACATGGAAAAAGCACAACATCAACAATCCAGGGATTGTACATTACATAATCTGAAGCCAAACAAAGGAATAGTCTCATAGTCTAAACTGTGGGAGTCTGTGTTGCAGAAGGCTATGGATGAGAGCTACATCTGTGAGATCCACACAGGAAATAGGCTCCCAATAATTCCCTTCTATTCACAATAGCAGGGTGGGAAGAACGTGGTTCTCAGACAGCGAGGGTTGGAGAGATGCCGATAGTAGATGAAAACGACCCCTCTGACTTGAACAGTTCAAACCTGGTCACTTGACCTCTCCTGTAATACACTTTGGGGTTGATCTGGTTTTCATATCTCTATGTTTTTGAAATATACTTTAGGGTTTATCTCTGTTGTATTTTGTCATGGTGGGGAGTCTTCTTGAATCTTTGTTATGCATCTTTCTTTTCTTTTTTTTTTTTGCATATGAGACCCAGGATATTTGAATCTGTAGAGATAACAACTAGAATCAGGGTTCCTGGGGTGGGGGTGGTGTGGAGACATTGTGAGGGAGGTGGGAGGGTAGTAAGGAGGAGCTAATATCAAGGAGTTCAACATGGAAGAAAATGTTTTGAAACTGATTTTGATGGCAATTGCTTGACGTGATTGAAGTATGGAATGGTGCGATGTCTGGATTAGCTCCTAATCACATGGTTTGGGGGCGGGGTGGTGGGAAGGTTAGCTAGGTTTGGTTTGTAACCCACTGCATAGTCACAAGTACCTTGTGTTGATTCTAAGTGTTGAGATAGTTAATGGCTCCAGCTTAAAGCAAATGTGTATGCTTGACAATAAAACAAAACCTCAAGAGACTAAATATCCAACTTTCACAAATGTAAAATTTGATTTTACTCCACCAATTGCTGCTTGGATTAGAGGGGATGATCCTTAAGTTTTCTTCAGGTCATAAGATGGCGAGATTTCTCTCCAATCTTTTATAGGAAGAAACTAAGACCGGAACTGAAAATACATTAGCTTTGTGTGAGATTTTCTTAACCTTATCAAAAATCAATTCAGGCCATCTCTTCCGATGCATTTTGATATGTATTCTTTCACTATACTCCATGTCAGTGTGAAAGGAGTTCTTAATAATTTATGTTGTTTACTTTGGAAGTGATTACTCATAGGAGGCTAGAGAAATGAATCAATACTTCCTTAGCAATATAAGAATCTACCAGCACTTCTCAAAAAATTGGAAATAATTGTTAATGTAATGCATATCAAATTAATTCCCCATCTCCTCCTTCTGCTACAAGAATCTTAATTAAGAAACAACTAAGGTTGTCTTTTCTTATTGCATGTACTGTTGAGCCCCTGGCTTTAAATAAACTCATTTTAACCCTTTGAGGTATAAAATATAAATAATACCAATCTCTCCAAAGACAGTCTACAAAGTAGTAGCTATACCATGCATTTGTAAAAGGGATTTACAGCAAAGTATTTCTATCTCTGCTCTGAACACTCTTCATGTTGTTCTGTGAGGTGTAACTTGAGTCTTCCCTTAAGTCACTTCAACACTGCACAGAGTCTCACACTGTATCCAGCCCCAAGCTCCACATTTTAAGATCATTGACAAATCAGTCTCCCAAAAGGAGAAAAGCAAGCACCTAAGCGATAAAGTCTGTGGAAACCGGAATGAAAGGAAAGTTTGCATGAATTGGGGACACTTAACCTAAAGAAAAGATCAGGTGGTCTAAAATTAATTTAGGGAATCCTGATGGCACAGATAAGGGCATGGCTGTGAACTGAAAGGTTGGCAGTTCAAACACGCCAACCTCTCCACAGGGGAAAGATGTGGCAGTTGGTTTTTGTAAAGATTGCAGCCTTGAAATCTTCATCGGACAGTTCTACTCTGTCTTTATAAAGTTGCTGTGAGGTGCCAACAGGCTTAGATTTTTAAAATTTGTTTGTGGGGTTTGTATTTTGTTTTGAATTTGCGGGGGGGGGGGTGTTCTCTTTGCTGCGTGTCAGTTGTGCGTGTCAGTTGTGTGGTTATGGTTGTTGAGTTCCAACAAGTTCATTCTAAATGATAAGAACCCTATGTGACAGAGTAGAGTTGTCCCATCGGGCTTTTCCTGAGCAGCAGAATCGGGTGGATTTGAACTGTTAATCTTTTGACTAGTAGCCAAAGGCTAAGCAGTTGCCTTGGGCCTTAAGTCCACAACTTGTTTAGATGGTAGAACCAGTACTCCTGAATGATAGTTAAAAGGAGGCTGGGAAACTTCAATATGGAAATCGTTTGACAGTAGAAAGAACTGCCTACCCCTGCCCACCCCAGGAGCTTAAGTTCTCATATTAAGGTATCCTGTGAAAGACTACTTCGAGGAGGTGGGGGTGAAGGTCAATGCTAAGGGAGTGTGTGTATAAGTCCACACACTCATCCTTAAAAACATGTCA